TATGACATTCAAAACGCAGATACTTCGTATGCATAACCTCCAAATATTTTTATGTCATTTACTTACTTTTTGTGCGACAGAAACAATTTTTGTTAGTCTATCAACTAACAGCGAACACAAAACTTGTTGCAACACTTAATTGTTGAAAAAGAATTTTCAAGTTCAACTGTTGAGTGTGAGGTGTATAGCAAGTATGCGGGAATGAATGAGGAGAACTGTCGCTATCCCGTCACCAGAGAGCGCTACCAGTCTTGCACACAGCGAATGCTATAAAGTTTGTTAGGTATTTTATAAAATAAAATATTTGTTTAAACATTGAGCACTCTAGAATAAAGCTATGCATGATCTGACTAAATTGGACAAGAAAAATTGCCCTATTTTATATCATTTTAGATTTTGAAGCACAATTGTGTAAAATGCAAGTGTTTATAAATTTTCAAATTTGAAAGGTATCAGGTGTGGTAGGTTCGTTACTATTTTATTACTATTACATAATTTATAAATATAAAAAACATATAAAACTGCTTAATCGTTCTCCTAGATCTTAAATGAGCATAAAAAAGTGCAATACTTGTCTAATTTAACTAAGTCTGTTGTAAGACAATTTTCTTATAATTTGCTTTGTTTTATTTCAGATATTTTGTGTATGTTCCAGAATGTCTGAGGGACGCAAAAAACTATCTGGTTGAGAATATAAGAAACAGAAATGCAAAGGCAAAGACAACTGGCACTTTACTAAATTATTTATTACCAAAACAAATGACGACTCAAAATGTTCTACATCAAAGACAGCATTGAAAGACACTGACAACAGAGAATCGCCTGAGAAAAATGAGGATCAACAAATGAACTATATACCTGAACTGATACTTGCAACTGACAGTGGCAGCCCTCCGTCGCCAAATGAGAGCACTATTGATACCAACGTGGCACCTACAGAAAGCGTTCAACAACCTTTCAGTACAGATCCTGCACTCTGGCCAATGATACTACCAGGCGCCGAAAGAATCTTTTTGGTAAGGCAAGGTCCACCTAAACCATTGTACAATTATAGATTTCCATACGATGAGACTGGTAGAAAATTTAGCCCTAATTATTATAAAAGAATTTTAAGTAATGGAGAGCAAATTTTAAGAGTCTGGCAGTGTACTCTGTCTCAAAAAATTGCATATATTGCTTTTGCTGCAAAATTTTGAGCTGTGTACTTGAAAGGGAACTCTTTCAAAGGAGGGGTTTAAAATTTGGAAGCATCTGAACCAAACTCTAACAGACCATTAAATTTTTAAAAATCATATTCAGTCCCAAAAATCTTTTCTAGAACGAACCGAAGATTAAAGTGTTGTAGAACAGAAGTAAAAGTTGGAAAGGATTTTGCCAGTTCTCCCACTTTATACACATAAATTGACAGGTTTCCGTCGGATCTCACCGAAGTGGACGCGATACATTGGCGTACAAAATTATTTTATAGATGTTAATAACAATTTCGAGTAGTTTAATAAATTGTGAATAGCTGCTAAAATTTTGTAAAATTATAATTTGAATATTATAATACATGTTTAATAATTATTTATAGTCCATAAATACATGCGATTGTCCGGTTCCGCCGATAACAATTTGTTGAGAATTCAAGAGTAATTCTCAACGGTAGTTAAATTCAAATTTACCGCGCCAAATTTTCAATGCCCGATGAATATGCGCCAACTCGGTTCCCTTTAAAAATGCGGAAAATAACGGTCAATTTTATCTGCTCCTGGCGACACAGGACAGATGTGTCCCGAACGGCGTCAGTTATAAAGCAGTTAAAAAGTTATACTAATCACGTGTGTGTGTTAGTGTAAAGATACCCTTTTATATTGGCGATACCCTATATCCCAATAAACCCAAAGTACCTAACTCTTTTTAAAACACTTTTAATTCCGTGGTGACGAGAAGCCGGTAACATATCAGAATTGCATCTCATATATCAGTGAAAGTACTATTATAAAAAGTGTGAAGTGTAGTGTTCAAGGATTACATGTAAGCTTGGTACTGATATAATAAAAAGTCTGGAAGTACCCTAAAACTTTCAAATATGCCCTTTATTTTCCCTGCGAATTATACCACCATTTTATTAGCTAAGTCAATTAAGCATTGTTGCCAGATTGTGTGCTGAGTCGCTTGGCTCTTATGTAAATATTATCAACTGTTTTTTTCCAATACTGAATATAGTAGTTATTTATAAACAGTAATATTTTATTCATATCCCCCTTTTTTTCCCACCTTTCAGTAACCTTATTTTAAAAAAGTAGTTTAAAATCGAAGCATCATGTGCAGCCACGAGTCGTTGTCCACCGCTTAATACAGTCCACTTAAACTACGCATTTTACGCCGTGTCCTGCACACAATTTAAAATTACTTATTCTATGAAACGACTCTGGCAGGTAAACATTACTGTGAAATTCTCGAAGCCGTCCGACGTGGTTTGACGTTTACCCCCTCTCTACCTACCAAAAGCCTTTCCAACTTTTACTTTCTCTATATAACTATAGATGCGGATTCCCAAAGACTTATTAATGCTGAAATAAACCATTAGCAAGAAGTGCTTTTAAGAATCGTAGCAATCACTAAAATGCTTAGTAAAAATTATCTGGCTTTCGAAGGTACAAACGACAAGCTGTTTGAGCATAATAACTGGTTCATGATATTTTTAGATAAATGTAAATCAAATGGACTTTATGAACGCATTTGTGCCATTTAAAAACAAACGCGAGACAATGTTAATCAAACAGATTTAATATACCCTATGTTGCGCAATAAAAAATATTCCCTGTATATATACAGGGAATATAAAAGCATGGGTACGTGTATTGCGCATGCGCGAAATTAAATTAACTAAATCATCTGAATTTCTTACAAATGCAAAATTTTGTTTAAAAAAGAAGAAACGACAAATGTTTACTGACTTTTATAATGTTTTAACGATGTTTTAGAATTTTCGTTTCATATCTTATTAAACTCGTGAAAAAATCCAAAGGTTAGAAGTATTTTACAAATTATTAGCAACATATGTAACAGTAATATGATACATTAATATAATACACGTTAGGCGAATTAATTTCGAACGCTATATTCGCCATTAGGTATGGGACAGAACACAGGGAATTACCAGGGGATTATCTGTTATAACCACTCAACCAAGATAATAGTTAACTGCAAATATAATATATTTAAAGATAAATTAAGAAAGTACTTAATCGAGAATGCATCCTACTCAGTTGGGGAATTTTTGGATGCCATTCCAGGAGTAAATAATATAACTTAAGAAACTGTAAAATTTTACTGTGATTAAAATCTTTACTCAACTTTTATAATTTTTGTAACAATTTTTAAAAAAACTGTTCATGTTGTACCTACTGTGTTATATTGATAAATAGGCGGATGGAAGTAGGTAGATTGTGTCTGTGTGAGTCAAGGTGTGCATGGATGTTAAATTTAATTTTTTTAACTATAATTTTTTTGGGACTAGTCTGTAAGTTTTATAATATTATTAGTGATGATAATAATTGTAAAATTGTAAAGATACAATAAAAACATATCAAATTGTCAGTACCAGTTCTTTTTCTTGCTATTATTTATATTATGGTTATTTTATTGAGTCTTTCAAATGTAAACTTGTGCATATAATTCAATGTTTGATACTTATGTATCTTATATTTTAATTTAAAGTCATTTAAGTCATGAACAGATACAGAAAAAACACCAAATTGTGTACTTAAGCTTTATTCCGGCCTGCAGTGAGCTGATTAGATTTTGGACAGTCAGAACATCTGTAGAGGAAAATTTTTCAAATAAAAGTTACTTGTTACTATAATATTTGTTCTTTACAAAACTTTCTTAAAATTGTCTGTATTCGAGAAATTTGACAAAATGTAAAAAATTCAATTTTTAAGAAAATTGTTCAAATAAAAGTTATTTGTGATGTTATTCTCTATAATTCTTGTCCTATACATAATTTCTCTAAAATTGACCGTATTCGAGATATTTGAGAAAAAGTGTAAATATAGAATTTTGAAGACAATAACTCAAAAACAGATAAAATACACCAAATTTTAAATTTAAGGTTTAATCCATCCTGCGGTGAATTGATTACATTTTTGGCATAGTCGGAACATCTGATAGGTACTTTATAGAAGCTTATTTTCTACTTTATGGAATATATATTATTTACGCTTGGAGAAGAAAATTCTTTGAATAAAAGTTGCTTGTAATGTTATTTTCTATAATTTTTGTCCCATACATAATTTTCCTAAAATATCGCGACGAATTGAGAACCTCCTCCTTTTTTGAAGTCGGTTATAAATGGTCCATATTCGACAAATTTGACAAAAAGTGTAAAATTCGATTTTTTAAGATAATTGTTTAAATAAAAGTTGTTTGGGATATCATTGTCTATAATTCTTATTCCATACACGATTTCTCTAAAATTGAATAATTTGAGGAAAAGTTTAAAATTTAAATTTTTCAATATAATAGCAATGAATATATATAAAAAATTGTTTATGGTAATATTTTTTCAAAAATGTATGCATTTAAGTAGTTCATCCTCTAAACATTTACAGGGGTAATACAAGAGGTTGTACAAAATAATTGGAAAAAACCTGTAATAACTAGACAGGAAAGTCATATGTTGGACATATCAGATTTTTAGGTGTTATCTTGGCTGATTTTGAAAAAAACCGAAATTGCCAGATAAACCTTTTTCCTCGTCGTTTCCAAGATATTACCAGACGCTGCTCTTATACTGTTTTATACATGAATTTTGTTGGAATAATTTATCTTCTAATAATCAACTGTTAGAAGTTGTGGAATTCAAATTAAAGGATACTTAATTATTGAAAATAATATATCAATATGCATATTATAGTTTATTTCAATTTTTATACACTATCCAACAATATATCTAAAAACGCTATTCATTCTTTATTTACATATTCTACAATTAGTATCATTAATATATGTTTTCATTTAGGATCATGGGGTAGTTTAAATCCAACCATTTTTGCTGTAGCTTCTACAGTTCTTTCTCCCTTGCCATGAAACTCTTGTTGAATTTCTTGCTCCAATCTGCTACTTTTTAAATAACATAAATATGTATTTGCCATAAATTCCATCTCTTGTCTAGCTTTACATAGCTGTTGATCAGTTATTTTGTATTTCTTATACTGATTCAAGATGTACTGAAGCATCAGATTATTTTTTAAATTTCCTTCAGGTATAGCATACCGTAATTCATATATTATATGTCTAAGTACATTTACTTTTGCCACCATTTTGTCAATTAGCTGAAGCAATCAGAAATAACCTCAAATCAATTAAAAACTTAATATAAAAACACTATAAACTGAATTAAAATATATTCTTTTAAAAGTAAGGTACAGTTGGGTACAGTATATTTTTGTTCTTTTTTAACTATTGCAGTTTATTTCCAATTTCAACTTATAACAATTATTTGGAATCTGTAATAAACTCTAGATCAATTTCACTATATTTTGGTTCCAAACACTCTTTCCACAAATCTTGACAAACCATATTAATGTTAGGGAAAACATGAATAGCTATATCATTGAAAATTTCATAATATTTAAAACTATTTATGATAGCGATTTCTAGTACATAGGGTAATATTTTTGACACATATCCAGCTTTCACTTCAATTTCTTTACTAGAATTTGAATCAATAATCTTTCTGAAACTATTAGCAATAATAATACAATAATTAAGATCTAAACCCCAATTTGTCCACAGTAAATTGTTAGTTAATTGTTTGGAACAATGGGGCATATAGAAAAGTACAGTTTCTTTATTTTTTACTCTATACTTTCCTTCTAAATTATCAGTTAATAAAGTTACATTAAAAGTTGATAATATCTTCTTATCATTTTCAGTAAATACAGGATCATAAGCTAGTATTTTCGTATTAAATAGCTCGCTTAAACTTAATATAACAACAAATTGGTAACGTGCTGTTAGACACTCACCAATTTTGCCTAATCCCAAACAAATGATTTGCGAAATAACAGGGTTTCCTAAACCACTGATTCCTTCTTTTAAAGATGCTACTACTGAAGCATACAAGTCCGTTGAAGTTATTTCTATTTTTGCATCTGCAATTCTCCTAAAAGTGAGGTTATGGTTAAAAATAATGCCAAAGCAAAATTATTGAAAACTTACGTTGTTGTAGCGCCTAAGTCAAATTGCGTTTCGGGTAAGGAAGTATTTGGATTTTCTATTTGATTTTTTAAGCGTAATCTAGAATGTTTTCGTCTGTAAGTTACTTTTTGAAAATCACTCATGTCAAATGTCAAAAATACAGTAGGTGCGTTTTATTCATCCATTCTCTAGTAGAAAAAGTTTGAACAGAATTTGCAAACGCAATAAAACGATAAAATTGTCATCTGTCAAGAATGTCAAATTTAAAATCATCGTCCATTACACGGTGTACTATAAGTCCATTAAAAATGGAAATAATTGCTGCGTTTGAGAATCCACATCGGATGCATTTTTTACATCTCGAGCGTTTTTTTATCCACATCGGACACATCTGTCCCATTACATTTACGTATACTGCATCACGTGATCAAAGATTTTTTACATCTCAGATGCATCCGATGTGGATTCTCAAACGCAGCAATTATTACAGATATTTCGAAATATTGCAACTTAATAATCATTTGCTATTAGCTGCACCAAGAATTCTAGTTGACATTATTAGATTAATTATCGAGAAGTATGAAGTATAGAATTATTTTGTAATATTTTTAATAATTCAAAATATTTACTTCTATACTCTTTTTTTAAACTAAGAGGAGCGATTTTAATTTAAGTTGGCAATTCTGTAGCCTTCTGATTGGTCAGATTACAGTCAGTTTCACACATTACTTTTTAGCATGAACATCAGCTAATAATTGATATTGTTGACAGTTCTGACATTTTATAATTTGATATCTCATCCATTACTTATAATTATCCTTCCTCCATGATTACTTAGTTATAGCGAAATCTCAATTTGTTACATATATGTAAACAATAAATAAAATATGCTGTCTTTGTTGAACCAGCAGGGTTATTCTACTAAATTTATAGTCCGGCTAAAAGTTTATAGCCCGGCTACAAGTTGGATTTTAAAGTTAGGAACATATAAAGTTCAAGCCAAAATCCAACTTGTAGCCGGGCTATAAATTTAGTAGAATAACCCTGCAGAAATATTGTCCACTTTCATCCTGTACAATTTCTTCCATTTTTTACAACCAGTATCAGAGTCAGAGATCCAAAGCTATATCAAGCTAGCGGGCACTCTGTGGCGGCACCATACAAAACCTGATGGGTTTTTTGTAGCTTTTTTGTTACGCTATTTGCGAATTTGTAGCTTTGCCCAGGTCCGAAAAAACAGCGGATCCGCTAGCTTGAATTTCCATAAATTCCATAGTAGCGGCACAGATTCAGACCCAGCTGGTTTTTCGTAACTTTTTTGTAGCTTTTTTTGTTACGCTAGTCTCCCTTTTGTAGCTTGTACTGAACCTGAGAAAAGCGCGGATCCGCTAGCTTAGCGGATATTTTTAGCGGCACCATCTCGGACCAGGCTCATTTTTTGTAACTTTTTTGTAGCTTTTTTGTTACACCTGTCTCCATTTCGATGCGAGGCCTGAACGTGAGTAATAATCGTTTCTCCATGAGCGTGAGAGAAAAGTGCGTTAATTAAAATCAAGTTTCAGCCTCTACAAGTAATATGTGCAACTCGATAGTGTGACTATTTGTTGATAGATGGCACCAGTATTGCATTTCACGAATTATGGCCATCTTCCATCCAATATATTTTTGAGAAATTTAAATATAATCTCAAAATCGGACATTTTCAACGGTATGCATATTAATTATTTGTTCGATATTAATGTAAAATACATATTGACAAGATTATTAAAATAGTTGTATGCCGGACGCCACTATTTTCCCGATCGGGTGTTTTCGGTTATTTTTACTGCTAAAAACTTCTGCTAACTTCACACCGGTGGTAATAGCTACCAAGCAATTACCTATTCTCACTATTGCTGCGTTTGAGAATCCACATCGGATGCATCTGAGATGTAAAAAATCTTTGATCACGTGGTTCAGTATACGTAAATGTAATGGGACAGATGTGTCCGATGTGGATAAAAAAACGCTCGAGATGTAAAAAATGCATCCGATGTGGATTCTCAAACGCAGCATATATACATGGTGTTCCATCTCAGACGAGCCACCCCGTATAGTTCTTATCCCATAGTAATGGGCCATGTTCACGTGTGAGATATGCTGTTTTATAAATTATATTGTAATAGTTAGTCGCTATACAAGTTATTCTAAATAATCTGTTCGTTAAAAAAGCAAAAAGTTTTTAAATTAAGCCCAATTGAAATTTAAAATTTGAAATGTATACGTCATCGGGAATAGACCAATCAGCTTGTGTTTTTTTTGTTATACGAAACCAAGCCAACGAACAAACCGACACACAGAAGGCGAGTTCGGTTAGTCAGGGGCAGGAGCGGGACAAAAGCGGAGTTTTTTAGGGTACTTTTAAATGACATTTAAGCGTGTTAAACTGTCACTAATTGGACTAAACCACATTCTTTTAAAGAGGTCTGACACGCCCAACATAGGGCGCGGCCATTTTGACTCTTTTACTACTATGTTAGGCAACACATATTTATCCCAAATGTTAAACTGGTAGCCTACCTCTTGATATTTTGAGATTTCAAGTGAAGGTAACAAATGTACTAGAAGAAACGTTTATTTATTTTAAATAATATACAAGAAACTTCTTTAAAGTAAAGTTGTAATTTCGAGTGCATTTTGAAATAGAGATGAGTAATTATCCTTCCTCCATGAGGTGAGTTCGGGCTGTGCACTCCAAAGTGGAGTGGAGCAAATAGGCGTAAACGGAGTGCGCATATGGTTTTCTACTTTTACTCTCAGAGTTCAATGTCAGTTGTCAGTGACATACTAACTAATACTTAAAACCTAATCGTACTTATCAGTAACAACCGTATAAGTTTCTTCCATATTAATGGTATGTACGGGAATCAAATAAAAAGCATTTTTACTTAAGAATTAGTCACAATTATCTTATTATCGATTTAAATCACCTTATGCGCATGCCCGATCCACACTTCACTCCACGATCTCCGAACGGTCAAAGAGGAACTTTTATTTTAACTCCTTCCGTACCCGAACGCTTTAGGTACTTTAGGAGTGAATATAGTGAAAAGAGTGCGTAGACCGAACTCACCAATGGAGGTGAGTGGTTTTTAGACATGGGTAACGCACTAAAATTCTTTGCGTTGATACACTAACTCCGGCGCACTCTATTGCGCCAACTCATTGCGTTAACGCAATTGCGTTATTGCGTCACACCACTGCCTGCGCCGAATGAAGTCGATGCACCTCGGTGTATCGCATGATACCGCCGATGGTGGCCGGAAAAAAGCGCAAAGGAAATAAGCGCACAGGAAATATGCGCACAGAAAAAAGCGCACAGACATATAAGCGCACAGGAAATAACCGCACGAGGAAATATGCGCACACGGAAAAAACCGCACACGGAAAAAAGCTCACGGGTATAAAAGCGCACATCGAAAAAAGCGCATATGGAAAAAAGCGCACATTGAAAAAAAGCGCAAAGTGCATGTAGTTTATATTTATAGTTTGTTACAATTTTTTGTTGTTTGATTAAAACTTTAATTATCGTTGTTTACAGTAGTTACCATAATTTTTGCTGATAATTCAGGAATCTACTCAGTTATTTATTCGGAATTATTATAAGTACGATACAAAGAATAGATTGGTTTGTTATATTCCAGGTGAAAAATATAAGACAAGTTTAAAAAAATTCTTAAAATACTTTCACAATAAAGTTAATACGGTTTATAATATTTATATCTCCATTATGGATTGTTGAGGACAGACTAATTCCACCAAATCCGCTTTTAAAAAATCATAACGATCAGTTTCGCCGCCGCGAGGAAATTATGCTGATGGGGTGTATATTTTACTTATCTCATACAGTGTGTATCTTAATTAAAACGAAATATTTGCAAGTGGTCATTTATTTTTACTGGAGATTATATAATTAAGATAGGTACTTATTATTTCATTTATTAGTTGCTTTTTTGTTAATAATTTTTAATTCAGGATAAATCCCATGCCGTCATAAGTTGCCACATTCAGTTTCAAGTAACTTGTATACTTTCGTCTTTTAACAAGCATCAGAAGGCAACGGAAACAGACATTTCATTTGCATATGCATGGATGTTAAACTGTTTGGCAGCTCATTTTTCCCATTTAAGTTGGCGAAATTTACGAAATTTTTCGAAAATAATTAAAGGGTCACTAAACGGCATTTACAAGAATTGATAGTCGAAACGTTTTAAATAAAGACGAATTAAACTCAAACTGGGGTCTATTCTGTAACAATTCCTTTATATTTAACTGCCTTTAAAAATATTTTATTCTTTACTTCTGTCATTATTTAAACGGATCTTTAAAATACATTAGAGGACCATCTTAAAGAAATCTGTTTAAATAATGAAGAAGTAAATTAACGAATACGAACATATGTTTAAAGGCCGACAATATTTTTAAAGGACGTTAAATATAAAGGAATTTTTACAGAATAGACCCCATTGTGCCTAATATTTTAACATTTAAAATCTTCTTAGAATAATGTTAGGTACTCATGGATTATATCATTAATATCTATTTATTATAGACCGTTTCATTAATTAGACAAACGTCTTGCAAATTTGATAATCTTCTTTTAATATTGTAAGGTAATTAGGGATTATATCATTAATATCTATTTATTTAGACCTTAACCTGAATTAAACTAAAATTTTTCAAAATTTAAGAATCTTCATAGAATAACGTTAGGTTTTTGGAATTCTGTCATAATAACTTTATTTCATAATATTTTATAATAAATTACGTTTATAAGTAAGTTACTAGTAAGTTACTGAAGACTGGTTTTATTTTTGTTTCGCGCTAATTTTAAAATTCAGACAAGTGTACTATATTTTTTATTGATAAATAGAATTGGTTTTTGGTTCGAAATATTTTTGGAGTTCTATTATGATTTTTGATCATTGTTTTCATTTATAATGTCATAATCGTTAACGATTTGTAATAATTATATTTATGAAATTCCCGTTGAAATGATTTTGCATTTTTTTGTAAAATGGCGAGTTTTATAGGTACATATTTTATCTTTAAAACCTAAA